GCAAAGTCTTTCAAATATGAGATAACTGCAAAATATTTTCCTTTTATACTATAGAAATGAGAATCTCATCAATAAATTAGTTCAAACATAAGATGAAAACAGAACATTCTGTGGTGCTAGTGCACACTACCTTCCCACCCACACACATCCACGCTCACTGTAACAAAGTGAATATTCACAATAAAGCTTCTGAGTAACTTTCTGATGACTCATGATAAACCTAAGTCAGATAAACTGATATGACTAACTGCAAGAGTCAAGTATTCTATCTGAGAGTAATAGTTTATGATGACTCAGTGCTGCCAGAGTAAAGTTTCTAAAATAACATTCCTCTCGCTTGTTCCCCACTAAAAGTATTAGTCTACACATTGCACTGAAGTTAAACACAAAATTATCAGTGTTTTAGAAATATGAGTCTGGACTGTGTAAATAAAAGTACAAACATTATTTCCATCATAAAGTAAGTATTGAAATCAAGTTGTCTCTGTGTGCTATTCCCAGAATACATACTTATTCCTATTTTTAAGCATTTGCTTCTGTTTTTTTCCCCTACCTAGAATGTCAGATGTTTTTCTATTATCTCCCCATTTGTCAGTTCACCTGAAGGTAACATTTTTCATTAAAGCATCTGAGATCTAAGACTACAATTATTATTCTAACAATGATTATTAGCTTCTTCACTTATTTTGATAACTAATGATCATAACTATTATACTACTTTCTCATTATTTTGTGTGCACGCCTCATTTCCCTGTGACTTAAACCTCACTGAGAGCGCAAAATGCAGCTTCATACTTCATACTTTCAATCGCCTAGCCCGATAGTGAGCACATTTGAATTGAATATACAATAAATATTGCAAAATAAAATCCATCTAAATAGAAGGGTTCTGTTTTATTTGGAAAAATTGAATCTTTAAACTGTCATAATATTGAATGTCATCTTTCTAGTTTTCAGAAAAATAATGTATTCTTATATTATTTTTATGATAAAACTTATGGAACAAAACACCATAAAATAACTCTCAGATTAAGAAAAAATTCAAAAGTCAGTAGTTTTAGATAAGATGATGATAAGTGAGAAAGAGCATTGGTAAAAGGTATGAATTCTAGAATTAAAGAAATAATTTGGGGATTTCTAGATAAGAGGATATGAACATGCATACCTCACACCTTCATATACACAACCTTAAATCACAAATAAAACAAAATAAACAATACAAATTATACCACCAAGATCCAGAAGATATCAGAGGAAATCATTACAGAAAGTAAAAATATGCTGTCTCCATTATACTCATAATGTTTCATTCTTGACACTAATAATTAAAGAGGCTTTAAATTTTAAAATAATTTACTTCTTACATTGCTGAAAAAAACTAAAGACATACATAAATGGAAAGGTATCTTGTGTTTATGGATGGGAAGATTTAATGTTGTTAATACAACAATACTATCCGATATGATATGCAGACTGAACACAGTTGCCATCAAAATCTCAATGATGCTTTCACACAAATAAAAAATAATTCACCTTAAAATTCATATGGAACCTCAAGAGACTCCCAAACAAACAGAAGAATCTTGAAAAGAAGAATAAAGATAGAAGACTCATATTTCCTAACTTCAACATTTACAACAGAGATACAGTAATGAAAACAGTGTGTGGCTGAGCGCAGTGGCTCACACCTGTAATCCCAGCACTTTGTGAGGCTGAAGTGGGCCAATCACTTGAGGTCAGGAGTTCGAGACCAGCCTGGCCAACATGGTTAAGCTCCGTCTCTACTAAAAATTCCAAAAAATTAGCCAGGTGTGGTGGCAGGTGCCTGTAATCCCAGCTACTGGGAGGCTGAGGCAGGAGAATCACTTGACCAGGAGGCAGAGGTTGCAGCGAGCTGAGATCGCACCACTGCACTCCAGCCTGGGCAACAGAGCAAGACACTGTCTAAAAAAAAAAAAAAGAAAACAGTGTGGTACTAGCGTAAGTACAGACATACAGACCAATAGAATAAATTAAATAGCCCAGAAATAAACCCTTCCAAATAGGGTCAGATACTTTTCAACATAAGTACAAAGACCATTCAGTGGAGAACGCCAGTCTCTTCAACAATGGTGCTGGGAAAACTGGCTATCCATATACAAAAGAATGATGTTGGACACCTACCTTATGTAATATTAAAAAACGAACTAAAAGACCTAAACTTAAGGGCTAAATTATAAAATTCTTAGAGGAAAATATAGAGGAAAACCTTTATGACATTGAATTTGGCATGAAATTACTTAGATTTGTCACCAAAAACACAGGTAAAAAAGAAACAATAGATAAAATGGTCTCCATCGAAATTGAAAACTTTTGGGAGAGATTTGTTAAAGGATACAAAATTACAGTTAGGTAGGAGGAATAAGTTCTATACCATTGTAAGATGACTATAGTTAACAATAAGGTATAGTTTCAAATAGCTAGAAGATACTGATGGTTCCCAACACAAAGAAAGGGTAAATGTTTAAACTGATGGAAATGCTAATTACCCTGATCTGATCACTATACATTATACATATTGAAACATCACTATGTACCCTATGAATATGTAAAATTACTATTAGTCAATTAAAAATTAATTAAAAATACATTTTAAAAATTAAAAATTTCTCTTCATCAAAGGGCACTATCAAGAGTCAAAAGACAACCCAGAGAAAGTATTCTGAAATCATATATTTAAGAAGAAATTAATATCTAGAATATATAAATAACTCTACAATTCAACAACAAAAAACAACCCAATTCAAAAATGGGCCAAGGACTTGCAGAGACATTTCCTCAAAGATATACAAATGGCCAACCAGCACATAAAAATATGTTTAACATCACTAACCATTAGGAAGATGTAAATCAAAACCACAATGAGCTATCACTTCCTACCCATTAGGTTGGCTATAGCCAAAAAAAAAAAAAAAAAAAGCAGAAAATAACAGTTATTAAAGTAGTTGTAGAGAAACTGAAGTACTTGTGCTTTGCTGGTGTAAAATGGTACAAGCACTGTGGAAAAGAGTATGCGGTTCTTCAAATAATTAAACATAGAATTACCTTATGATCCAGCAATTCTATTTCCAGGTATATAATTACACTTAAAAGAATTGAAAGGGGCGCAAACAGATATTAGTACACTAATATTCACGGCTGGATTATTCACAATAGCCAAAAAGTAAAAACAACCAGTGCCCATCAGCAAATGAATGGATAAACAAAATGTATATACATTTAATGGAATATGATCCAGCCTTAATAAAAAAAAAAAGGCAGGGGGAGGGCACTGGGCTTGGGAGGCCAAGATAGGTGAATTGCTTGAGCCCAGTAGTTCGAGACCAGCCTGGGCAACATGGCGAAACTGCATCTCTACAAAAAATACATAAATTAGCTGACATGGTGGCAGGCGCCTGGAGTCCCAGCTACCTGGGAGGCTGAGGTGGGAGGATCACCTGAGCCAGGGACAGTCGAAACTGCCATGAGCTGTGATTGCAACACCGGACTACAGCCTGGGTGACATAGTGAGACCCTGTCTCCAAAAAAAAAAAAAATAAAAAAGAAATCTGACACTTGCTATGACATAGAGAAACTTTGAGGACATTATGCTAAGTGAAAGGTCAATCCACATACATGAGGTACCTAGAATACTAAAATTCATAGAAACAAAAAACAGAACAGTGGTAGCAAGCGCTAAGAGAAGGCAGGAATGAGGAACTAATGTTTAATGGGTATGTTTCAGTTTGGGATGATGAAAAACTTCTGGAGAAGGATAGTGGTGATGGTTACAAAACATTGTGGATATTGGTGATGGTTACAGAACAATGTGATTGGTTTTTTCCACCCTAGTAATGTTAAAACTAGCAAAGACCAGCTCCTAGAAGGTCTCTACCCTCTATAGGAAAAATACACCAATTATACCTCCATACCTGCCTGGAAAGCACATAGAGTCAAATCAGCTTTGGAAATGGAGACTAGTGCTCCCATTTTCCATCACCCATTCAAATGCATAAGGAAACAGCAACATTAGGTGATTCATTTATTACCGTAACAGCCAGCACACTCCCTCGTCATTACTGTATTGTACCACTTGCGAAGCAGAAATATTTAATTTTTCTGGCACAAGACTACATATGATAAAATATAACAAAATCATGAGAACACCTCAAGGTACTGTAGTACAGAACTGCCCATGTTTCTCTGTGGAAAAAAATCCTAGGCCTGACAGATTTTATCAGCTCAACCAAACAGAATAAATAATAATAAAAAACAATAGAATCCCAAATAAAGGAGAGTTCGTACAAGTCCTAAAAACAATAGTCATGACCTGGTTAGGCTTTTGAGGGAATCTGAACCTTGAAATATTATTTAAGTTGACTTTCGGAACTGGTTTCTGTGTGGATTAATGCTGTCAATAATTTGATGCTATCCAAATGAGTAGAACCCGAGGTATTACAATGCAACCAAACTTAATTTCAGTTATGCCCGAAAACAAAGAAAGGGAATAAAAAGAAGTACTTTAAAGTACCCATATCAGGCTTTAGGAAGCATTACTTCACAAGAATCAGGCTTTGGTATTTAAACTCGAAATGTACAATTGAGAAGCTGAAAACACAGAGTCTGGCTCAGGAAGTTAGCAGTATACCACTACATGATAAGCCTGCTGTGATGACATCCTTTATTAACATTTGCTGTTTTCCTTCAAGTACTCTTGAAAGAATGGTTTTTCAAAATGTGCATTTTAAATAAATTTGAATATAACCACGCTTCTTTCAAGACATTCCACAATATAAACTGTGTGCCGATTTGTACAGAAGTAATCCTCCTCCAGTCATGCCAAATAATTGCAAATTCCAAAAGTCAATGAGAATATTTTCTACTGTTTGAAAGCTTTTAAGAAAAGGATGTATGGATGAATCCCCAACTAATATCAGCTTTGTTTTCCATATATGTTTAAATTCAAAAAGTTCAGACTTTACCTTGAAATGTTTAAACGTGCGCTTACGATATTCAAACCACTCCACAAAAAAATGCAGGCTTCGAAAAAACATGAACAGATCTTTTCTGTCTTCTGCTCTGTAGGAATAAATGATTCTCTGATTAATAAATATCATTAAATGATAGACCCAATCTAGCTTTATTTCTTATTTTTCCTTTTCATGTATCCTACACTAAAACCAAAAACTACTTGATGTAGTTCTACATATCAATTCCTGCACTTGTGTGTGTGTGTTCCTCTGGTGTGACTGCTAATGCTACTTTCTCAGCCTAGAACACCCCTTTCCCCATTTTCAAATGTTTAAGTCTACCTATTATTCAAATCACTCAAATGCCACATTCTCTGAAATTTTATTTGATGACTGTAGTATAATAAAGAATAATGAAGAATAGACAGTATGTAAGTGCCAGTTTCTGGCATAGTGCTTTAAAACCTTTGGAACTTCCTGAGTGATAGATGTGTCTTTGTTATGCTAATGAGCTGTCTCAGAGTGGTTCCTACATATTGCAGACTGGAGGCGCTTCACCAGGAAAACACATCGAACACATCACCAAACACATCATTTGAGGGCTAACCAGGAGCATGGCAGAGCTTCCTGGTTGGTGAATACACTGATGTGCTGGGAGGATAATGTGCCTGGATTCCACAAGGAATCTCTGTCTCCCCAACCCCCAGACCTTCATCTACGTATTACTTCCATTTGGCTGTGTCTGGGTTGTATCCTTCATAATAAAATGTTAATTGTAAGTATAGTGTTTTCATTAAGTTCTGTGAGTGGTTCTAGTAAGTTATTAAACCTGAGAGATTTGTGGGAACTCCAGAATTTATGGCCAGTTGGTCCTAACTGCAGGTGGACCCTGACACTTGCAGCTGGAGTGTGAAGTGGAGACACTCTTGGTGAAGACCTCTGCCTGTAACCTGGAGGGTCTGTTAGTATGAAAACTGAACTGAGCTGCAGGACATCCAGTTGGTGACAGAGAACCCTTGTCAGAACAATCACCACACCACCACACCACATATCCTATTCCCTAACAGCTAGAAATAATCTCATTCCTTTGCCTATGAGAACTCTCACAGGAATGAGTCTTAATTCTCTTAATAGTACATCTATATTAATAATGTAAGCCACATACACCACAAGTAACTTGAAGGCAAGAACCACGTATCATTTAATCATTCATTTGATAAATGATTGCGGGAGCTGAGTTCCTGTACCAGTCATGATAGAGTAAGCATATTCTACCCCAATGCTTCCATTACCTATAATTTAAAACCATGGACACAGCACATAAAGCAAACATCAGAAACTCTGAAATGTGGAAAGAAGAAAGCAGGTCAGGTAGAATCTTCAGGAATCAAGGGAGGACCTGGAAATGAATTCCTTAGGATTTATTTTTGCCTCCTGTATATCCCAGTCTGTACACAGGAGCAAACTGCAACCCAGAATTACCAAAGGGTACATTAACAACAACAACAACCCAAAAAGCCTTGGGAAAGACCATTCCCTCTAGCCAATGGAGATCGTGCAAGATGAAAAGAAATAGGCCTGGCAGAAGGGAACCCTAATGCCAAAGAGGAGCTGTGCCCCTTTCACTCCTAATCAGGCACTTTAGCCACAGAGGCTGAGGTGTGAAGCCTGTCGACTATCACTGCCAACAATAAGAAAAGCAGGCAAAGCACAGTCCTCACCTCCCAAACGGGTACTGCTACCAGAAAGACTGAGAGAGGAAGCTTTGCCAGCAACGCCCACCTAACACCAAGCAAACATAAGCAAAGAAAGGATGTCATTTCTGTTCTCGACCAACATGGCAGCTGCACACACAGTGGGGTGCTCTGTTAACTTTCCACACCCTGCACGTAAGTCATCCCAAGAAGAGATAAGGGAGAATCAGAGAAGAGGAGCCTTCAGACAAGAATTTTTTACATCTGTTTATGAAGTCCTAAATAACCCATACATAAAACGAACCAGAATCTACATCGAAAAAAATACTGAGAACTGAATTATAGTGTAGAATAATTTCCAGAATTCATATTGGCCTTGGGATAGTACATGAGTGGGGCAGACCACAACAGGATATTGAACTACAGACTAAAGTGGGCTGGGGTGTGCTTTTGACTTAGAAATGCATCAATAAGAACAACAACAACAAAAAAATGGCAAAATAGGAAGTGCTAGGGGTCATCCTGTCTCAGAAACACTGAAAACTATTGCATAGCTGTCAGAATCACTTTTACTGGAATGTGGGAAGAGAGTAAAAAGCTTACAACTAAGAAAACAATCAGGAAAAGGGCAACTGAAAAAGGGTAAGAGCATTTTGTAGTATTGTAAAATACCCTTGCCACACTCCCTACCTGGCCACAGTAGCAGTCTTAAAGATAGCATGCTACTTTACTAGCCTGAGAACCTAATCCTGACAACAGTCAAAGGGATCCCATTCCCAAGGAATTGTTTGTCTTGACTTGGCTCCCAAGTAAAAGAGACCTCATTTCCAAGGAACTGTTTTGATTCAAGGGTCTGAGTGCATTTCAGCTAAGTCAGAACTTTGTTGCAATTGATACAGGAGCTAGAAAGAAATTATTTAGGTAGATAGTGAGGGTTAAGGAGCCCTCAAGCAAGGCTTCCCTTTTAATAAAAAGCAGCCCCCAAATCATTTCTTTTCTAACAAAGAGCAGCCTGAAAAATAGAGCCGCAAACATAGATAAGCAAACTGGAAGCTTGCACAAGTAAAGGCTGTGCAATAGAAAAGGAGGCAGTGTCTGATTTACATAGGACATGAAAAATTGGTCAGACCAGGTGTGCCACTTGCATAGTATGTGAAGAAGCTGGCCGCCCCACCCTAACCTTTCATTATGCAGATGGATTCTCTACCGGGCCAGCTCCATGTTGCCTGCTTTTTTACTGTAACATACCTGGCTTCCAGGTAGCCCTGGAAACTTATCCTGTTGAATGACTAGCGGAATTACTAGCCTAGCCCTAGAAGCCAGGTATGTTAAACATAGAGGCTCCATCTTGCCCTTTTCTTTTTTTTTTTTTTGAGACAAAGTCTCACTCTGTCGCTCAGGCTGGAGTGCAGTAGTGCGATCTCCGCTCACCAAAACCTCCGCTTCCTTAGTTCAAGTGATTCTCCTGCCTCAGCCTCCCAAGCAGCTGGGATTACAGGCGTGCACCATGACGCCTGGCTAATTTTTCTGTGTATTTTTAGTAGAGACAGGGTTTCACCATATTGGCCAGGCAGGCCTCGAACTCCCAACCTCAGGTGATCTGCCCACTTTGCCCTCCCAAAGTGCTGGGATTACTGGCGTGAGCCACTGTGCCCGGTCTCCATCTTCCCTTTTCTTTGTCACCACGTGTACAGTAAAAAAGCAGGCAACATGGAGCTGGCCCGGTAGAGAATCCATCTGCATAATAAAAGATTAGGGTGGGGCGGCCAGCTTCTTCACATCCTATGCAAGTGGCACACCTGGTCCCACCAATTTTTCATGCCCTATGTAAATCAGACACTGCCTCCTCAAGCTCATCTGTAAAACCTGCATTTGACTGCGGAAGTGGCAACCTGTTGCAGGAAGTCAGGGACCCCGAACGGAGGGACCGACTGAAGCCGTAGCAGAATGACATAAATTGTGAAGATTTCATGGACATTTATTAGTTCCCCAAATTAATACTTTTATAATTTCTTACACCTGTCAGTACTGTAATCTCTGAACATAAATTGTGAAGATTTCACGGACACTTATCACTTCCTCAATGAATATCCTTGTGATTTCCTATAACTGTCTTTACTTTAATCTCTTAATCTCGTCATCTTCTTTGTAAGCTGAGGAGGATGAATGTCGCCTCAGGACCCTGTGATTGTGTCAACTGCACAAATTGTAGAGCATGTGTGTTTGAATATGAAATCTGGGCATCTTAAAAAAAAGAACAGGATAACAGCGATGTTCAGGGAACAAGAGAGGTAACTTTGAACTGGCTGCTGGTGAGCCGGACAGAACAGAGCTATATTCCTCCTCTTTCATAAGCAAATAGGAGAAATATCACTGAATTATTTTTCTCAGCAAGGAACATCCCTGAGAAAGAGAATGCGCCCTGAAGGTAGGCTTACAGACAACCTCTTTTTAAGGCGTTGTCTTTTACAGTCGAAGCCGAAGGGATGAAATAAGCCCCGGTCTCCTATAGTGCTCCCAGACTTACTAGGATGAGTAAATTCCCACCTAATAAATTATGGTCAGACAGGTTACCTGCTCTCAAACCCTATTTCCTTGTAAGATGTTATCTATGACAATGCGTGCCTGAAACTTCATTAGCAATTTTAATTTTACCTCATCTGGTGGTCCTGTGATCTCGCCCTGCCTCCATTTGCTTTGTGATATTTTATCACCTCGTGAAGTATGTGATCTCTGTGACTCACACCCTATTTGTGTACTCCCTCGCCTTTTGAAAATCGCTAATAAAAACTTGCTGGTTTTATGGCTCGGGGAACATCACGGATCCTGCCAACATGTGATGTCTCCCCCGGACACCCAGCTTTAAATTTCTCTCTCTTGTGCTCTTTCCCTTTATTTCTCAACCCAGCCGAGACACTTAGGAAATAGAAAAGAACCCACGTTAAACATCAGGAGTGAGTTCTCCCGATAGCAACCCATTTTCTCCAGGACCCCTCTCTGTGCAGACAGTTCTTCTCCTTCTTTCACCTATTAAACGTCCACTCTTAACCTCACCCTGGTATGTTCACATCCCGGTTTTCGGTGGCTGTGGGACAATGAACCTTGAGTATTACCCCAGACAACATGAAGACATAGCTACACAGGGGATATTTTTCAAAAATACTAAAAGGCAAATTAACAAGTCGCTGCTATGTAGGGCAAAAGAACAGTTGAGACAAACAACAGATATGCGGAAAGCCAAGAGAAGAAAAGGTAGAGAATGAGAATCTTTGGGGGATAAAGTCTCGGAAAAAGCGCTCAAGTATACCAGGGAACTAGAAAGCCACTGAATGCTCAGGGCAGAATGCATGCTTAGAAGAGAACTGAGGGGAGCATAACTTCAACCTCTGGCTAATCACTAGGCTAAGGACAGGAC